GTCCGTGGGCTTACCTTTGTATTCTTCTCCAGTCTCACCGTCTGCGCCACTATCATTGTGGACGTGGGGGGATGTTGAATATTATTATTATTAGGAAAGATAGGATAGCATAGGATCTTACCCTATCTTGTCTTGTACTCCAAGTTTGTCATTGTACTCCTATATATATGCCCACAAGGCTCAAGCAATAGACATCGATTCCACCAATCCCTCTCCATCCCTTCTAACAAAAACTAATCCACAGTCAGGCACGCACCAGGATTGTGAAATAGGTGTCCTGGCCTTAGGATAATGGTGGTGCCTGGATTGACCCAAGTTAATGATGGTGACATGCTTTTCCAGACCAGACATGCTATTAAACGCTGAGGATACTCAGGCAGGTTCCAGGGATGCTCGTGGCCAGGTATGAGTTCGCCAGGAAGACATCCAAACTGACCCAAACTCCATACGACATGCCTCACACCTCTGACGTGAGGTTCACCCCGTCCATGAGTCTGGATCTTTTCTCCTCAACACCAACACCACCAGCGTCCATATTATATCAAAAACTAAATTATGCAAACTATTTGGGGAATTGTTTAAAGAACCAATGTCGACACAGTGTCAAACCATACCAAATTTGACCAATAGGTACCAATAGCAAGCAAACATTTGAACCGCAATCAATATGACAAAAGAAACACCAAACCAATGAGATACATGAGGATTTACATGGAAAACCCTTGGGGGGACCATTAGCGCAGTGAGCAATCTTTCACTATAGAGATGAAGCATGTATAAGATGGAAGCCAACAAACAGGAAGGCTCGAAATCCTCAATTTTAGCACTCGGATTTGGATGGATTGTAGATCGAGTGGCCTCATTTCTCTCCCTATTCTAGAACTCTCTCAATAGCATATACTGTTAACTCTCGTCACTATTCCCGGTTTGGGGAAGAGAAATATATAGATTAATTTTATAGAGAGCCCCCTCAACTCACTGACAATCTCGCACATCTAAGTTTTAGGCTAACTTCCGTGTGATAAGAGTTGCATATATCACAATTCTCTACCTGGGCGATAGTTGAACCATCCATCAAAGGCATCAACATGATGTGAAAAGTACAATCTCCAATTGATTCATCTTCAAGTGAAAATATCAACAAGTGACAAAAAAACCACCGCCACTTGTGTTCCACAACATGCATGTTTGTTGATTTATCTTTTTATTTCAATCTCCAGTCTTTCTCACATGTAGCCTAATGAAGAAGTTTCACACATCAATATGCTTGGTTCTTTCATAAGAAATATCAACGGAATCCCACTTTGACTATCACAAAACACAACACAATCAACTTTCTCTATGCCCAAACTATCAAGAAAACCATGCATCAAAATTTCTTCATTCACCATCTTTGTTAATGACACAACTGAGCTTCTGCTGATGAGAAGCACATATAGCCTGGATCGTTACCCTCCAACTAACACAAGACCCACAAAGTTGAAACACATAACTCGTGCAGGAACGCCTCTCATTAAGATCGCCAACATGATCATAACCTGAATAAGCATGAAGGCCATTAGTCTCGTTGATGTCGCATCCCACTCACCCCGTGCATGCCTGGTATGACTCCTACGAGGACGAGG